ATAAATGATCTCTTTGGTCCACAGACTATTAAGTAACTTGGGAAAGAATGTAAGTGCAGCATAAGGTAGAACCAGGAAGAATCTTCTACAGGGGCCTAGGAGATGGCTCAGTAGAATAAGTGCTTGCCTAGCAAGCATAAGGGCCTGAGTTCAATCCCTGGTTCTGTCAATAAAAAAAAAAAGGAGAATCTTCTACAACCCTCACCTCTCACACTCCCTTTTCCTGACTCTATATCCCTTACCAAGTGGCCTCAAAGAGCAGATGGGTAGAGTTCAGGGTGAGTCCTGGAGGAGGAGATGACAGAACATGGAGATGGACCAGGGTAGGAATTCAGTAGGGAAAGTAGCCTGTTTGTGCAATTCCTGCTCTGAGGAGACATCCTTCCCATGAAAGGCAATGGGTAGCTTTTCCCAGGGGAACTTGGGGACAGAAGAAGCTGGTGAGTATTCTCTTTTCTTCCTATTCTGGTAGGAAATTTCAGCTTTGCCTCCCTGGCTGTGTTTGAACTGCTGATACAGCTACTTGCTTCACCCATTTGAGCAGAGTTGAGCTCAGTTTTTGTGCCTGGGTGCAAGGATTGCCCCACCCCTGCATTCCCCTACCCATGTCTGCTGCCACAGGCAAGTTAGCACTCACTGGCACTCTCGATTGCAGAGAACTCATCTGTGAAGCTTTCTCATAATGAAGCTTTCTTTCCTCCCTCCAGGCTGCTCCATGGTGCACATGAGAGAGCAAGAGAACTAATGTTGATGAAGCCGCCATCACTGAGTGGCTAAGTTGATGCCTACGAGAGTCTTGGATGAGCTGGCCCAAATGCTGCCCACTCTTCCACCCAGCAGACCTTCCAGAATGTGCCAAGGTTGTTGGGACTGTTCAGTGTGTCGAGGTTGTTGGGACACTTTGCTAGCTGCAGCTGGAAAAGTCTAATCCAGGAGGACAGAAAAGCCCACACTCTGGACATGTTTATGTCCATAAGGAAGCAGGAGTTAGGAAGGATGGGCTTTGGGTGTCTTCATCATCAGGGACACACCTAAGGCCATGGACTTGTCCAGATATGAAGCCCAACTGAGCATCTGTGAAGGGTCATGCTAGGGGGCCAGGAGGCTACTTGCCCTAAGGGTTTGTGAAGACCATGTGAGAGAATGCTGGAAGGCACTCGGAACATATTAAAGCCCCAAATGAGCACAAGACTGATGTTACCTTCTTCTGATGAATATCAAAGTAGTATGTGAGGTGAGGGCTGGGATCAGCAGCTTGACTTGATCTGGGTATGTTGACTTGGTGCTAGCTGATCCCAGTGAGATGGTCCGGAAAGCCTTCATGGCAGAGACAGGCCTCAGAGACAGAGGCATGGGAGCCAGATTGAGGGTGTTGGCCAGTGGACCAGAGCTGTGGAGATGAGAATAGATGATTGAGGAGGAAGAGTGAGAGCTAGTCTGGAAGCCCTCCTCCTGAGCACAACCTTCAAACACAGGTCCAAGCCAAAGGAGGAGAGGCCCACACTCTCCTGAGATGGGATTCCACCTTTTCCCTGGCCTTTCACTCCTGAAGTCCTGCTTCCTGGTTCTTGCCTAGAAGCTCTAGATAGCAGACCACAAGCAGCCAGGGTTCTCCACCTTGCACGTCTGCCTGTCTGCCTTTTCTCTTGAGAGCAGGGCTTGGTCTGGCTTTCCCTAGCCCTGTCATCATTTCAAACTCTATGCCCTCCTCTCAGGCACCTAGCCATTCCTCTCAAAATGAGTGTGGGATCTTTATAAGGGAAGCACAAACAGATCCAAAGAGGTCTCTGTCTGAATAGATTATAGGCTAAATGTGAAAGCTAAAATAATGACATATCCAGGAAAATCTTTGCAACCTTGGGGTAGGCAAATACGCTGTAGAGAGGAAATAAGGTGCATCAATGGAAAAGAAAAGAAAAGAGAACAAAATGGGTTTTGCTTCTGTTTTTCAAAAGATACTGTTAAGATGAAAAGACAATCTGTAGAATGGAAGATAATGGCTATGATGCAGAAATTAAAATATGGGTAAAGGAAAGAATTGACAGGAATTAATTCTTATTTATATTAAAAATATGTCACATGGATCATATATCAGAAACATCTTTCACCACTACTTTGATTTTATTGTTTTCTTCCTCATAGCAATACTTGGAAATAACTAACATGCATGCATTGCATACTTATCTGAGCATACGCTAAATATAAAGTAAGAGTTTATAATAAAGTAATAATAACAAGCATCAGACTTAAACAGATATTTTACAAAAGAGGATATATTAGGTGCAATGGGAAAATGTAGTGAGTGTTTAAAGTTTTAAAAAATTATTACAGCATAAGTCATACTGCTATTAATCTCCCTCATAATACATCTCTTCATTTGGACAAATTTATCCCATCATTCTTGTCACTTTCTAAAGTAGTTCTGGAGTCCTTTCTTATGAGTTTTTTTTTTAATTTTTTAAAATCTTATTTATTTATTTATTTATTGTATTTTACGGAAGGGTTTACAGGGTGTTCAGGGTCTCACTACTAGATCGCACTCCTAGTGATCCATTTGTTTACAGCCTCCCAAGAGCTGGGATTGCAGGCATGTGCTACCATGCCCAGTCTCAACTGCCATCTCAGCGAGCCCCGGGGGCGGGGCCAGCTCAAGCCCAGGGATCTAACCCCTGGCCCCTGTGCCTGCTTGCAGGTGCTTTAATCTGCTGAGCTGTTTAGCCTGCACCGCATGAGTGTCTTTGAATTTCTGTTGTGTCTGAATTGATGTCCTGAATTAATTCAAAATGCTTACCTCTCATTGTCACTTTGACTTTGGGGAAGAGCCGGAAGTTGCATAGCACGGAATCTGGTGAACAAGGTGGATGAGTATGCACTGTGATGCTGGTACAGGCTGGCCTTCCTGTTACAAGGCACTTGAAAGCTTCATGACCAATAACCATGGAAAAAGATGCACAACATCGTTAGGCATCAGGGACATACAAATTGAAATCATAAACATAGCAAAGTGCTATTACAATGTGCTAGGAAGTCTAACCAACAAACAGAACATATATAGAATATCAAACAGAATATCAAGTCTGAGACGGTGTTGAGAGTGATTACAGCTCTACATACTATTGGCAGGATAATAAAATGGTGCAGCTACTTGAGGGAAAGTTCTGGCAAGTTTTTCTAAAATTAAGTAGACTAGGGCCGGGGAGATGGCTCAGTAGAATAAGCGCTTCCCTGGCAAGCGCAAGGGCCTGAGTTCAATCCCCGGTTCCACCAAAATAAAATAAAATAAGAATAGAACAGAACAGAACAGAACAGAATAGAATAGTAGACTTATTATATAGCTCATCAGATACACACTTAGGTATTTTCCAAAAAGGAATGAAAATATATGTCCGCCCAAAGGCTTATATATGAAGCTGATAGCAGCCTTCTTTTAATAGCCCCAAGTCAGAAACAACTCAAATATCTACTATCAAATGATAATAAATTGTGATGCATACATGGGATACAATATTAGTAAGAGCATGGATTTCTGATCTGTTTATCCATCATCTATAATCTATCTATCTATCTATCTATCTATCTATCTATCTATCTATCTATGTATTTATCTATATCATGACTGGATCTTAAAAAACTGCTAACAGAAGCACTAAGGAGTACATGTTGTCTGATTCCATTTATATGCTATCCTAGAAACAATAAAACTCGATTGGCAGAGAGGAAATCAGGGAATCTGGGCCAAGGGAGGTAGAGCACGAAATGGAGTAGGACATTTACAAGGTAAGTCAGGGCCAACAGAAATCTGTGTACGTTGAATGGTGTACACATTTGCTAATACGCAGAAACTTAAAGTGTATTTCATTACCTGTAAGTTATTCCTCAATAAAGTTATTTTGAGTAATTTGGTTACTTTC